GTGCAGACCTCCGGGACATGGAACGACCTCGACTGCAAAGAGAAGGCCAAAAGCTTCTGCAAGAAACCCGTCGAGTGCCTCCATTGAAAAAAGATTAGCACCACATCTGCAGAAAGATAATCCGCGGGCAAAGCACCCAATCTCTATTGCTCAGTTGCTATGCTTGCTCAGTCTGAACCCATCAGAAATTCAGGTTACGATGAACATTATAGACTATTTCATTGAACCTTAAAGGGAAAATACAACATTTGCAAACATCGAAAAATAAAACTAATAAAAGTTGTTACGAAATACCTTACTAGGATGTTGGTAAATGACATGCTAAAGCATCCTGTAAAATTATGGCACCTGGTGTGAAGCCGTTTTCAAGAAAATGGTATATTCGTATACATTTCCAACGCTGGTCGGCCGACCACCGTTGGAAAAACCTAACTATTTTTCAATGACTGCTCCAAATTTACCATTTTTTTAGTCTAAATTTTTTTTTGCTAGCTATTGGTTCCATGTTCATGAACGGGTGCAGGCCAGCTAGACTGGTTCCCTTACCTTACAATTTTCCGGTATTTTTGATCCATTTTATCTTTAGTGGAGTCAGGGAACCAGACTACTTGAATATTTTTGTTTTTCTTGGTTTTTCCAGCATTTTCGAACACAAAACGTCAAACGTGTCAGTGCAACATTATTTGATCTATTATACTAACCCCCCAAATAGTTCATTTCTGAAAATTACAGCAAAAGCCAATGATGTACATTCCCTTTAACCACGCCCAACTCTTCAAGATCCAGATGAAACTGGCCTATGGGGAAAACCAATTGGGAAATAGGCTGAACAAAAATCCATTTCTGAATTCTGGGCTGCGCCACAGTTACACCAAGACGTACCAGGTACATTATGTACCGGTGCAATAAACTTTGTGCCCAATTTCCACACACTGCCTCCTGTTTTCATTTTAGATCCAAACAACATTTCGATGTGAAAAATGTTCAGTGTTTTCATAAAATTATAAAACCTGAATTAAGGTAAGAGTTTACTGATGTCATCAAACAAGTCCACTTTTTACTTGAAAACATGAAGAATGTCGAGAAAAAAAAAGTCTGAGACGACAACTCCACTATAACAGTCAACCTGTTGAAAAGTCCATTACATGCATTTGTTTACTTGGAATATTAAACACGAAGCCGTAATACGAAGCCGTATGTTGCGAATCAAAGGAATTCTTGAAATAAAAGTGACATTATACGTGTACGCAAGAATGGTAATAAATGACACAAGATCTATAAACTGATGGATTATAATCATCAATCAAACAAGTGCAGAAATAACAAAAACGGAACTCAGAACCGTAATCAACTTTATTGAGCACTTTCTTATCAATGCATTGTGGTTTTTGGAATGAACATATAAATCATCTACAAAACTATCTCAATTGTTATCATGCATATGACTTTTATCAACACTTCCCATAATGAGTAACACTTTGAAGGGAGGGTTTATTTTTTTTTGGGGGGGGTCAAAATGAAGAGAACAAGGTTCTGTTTTTCTTCCATGAATACTCAAACAGTTATGGTTAGAGATGGTAACAAATCAATGCAAGACTCCCTGACCAATCACAGAGCGGCATACCACCTACATATATGCATGGTTTGACCAATCAGAGCTTAAATCAGAGACATCAGGTGACCAAGGTCCAATAGGCAAGCAGGAGGGAACGAAGGACAAACCTTTGCCAGTTCTCAGTGAGACAAAGCAATCCAAACAAGAAAACACTTGGCGTACATGTACATGTAGCGCACAGTTGGTCCATGCGCAACTCTTCGTCCATTTGCACTGAAGCATGGCCAAGTTTCTCTTGGAAGCATTTCTGCTCATACTGATTACTGGAGCGTATCTAACCCATGCGGAGGACACATGCCCCTGTGGAGGGGTCTGCCCCGAAAGTTGGAGGGAGTGGGGCGGCCACTGCTACCTCAAGATCTCAGGCCGGACCTGGCAGGCAGCGATTGCGGAGTGCCACCAACTGGACAGCTACATGGCCGTGCCGCACTCCAAGGAAGAAACAGACTTCCTACAGTCCATCAAAAACTATTTCTGGATAAACTGCATGGACATCTACAAGGAAGGTGTGTAATAAAGGACAACATTTTCTTTCTAGAATCCGGTTGTATCAATGCCAAATTAGAGCCTTGCATTTTGTTAAATTACACTGTCCATTCATATCAGATTAGGTTTTGTACATCAAAAGCACATCAAAAGCACATATGGCAAATTGAATAAAGTACATGTACATCATTAACCCCCCTATGGAAACATGCATTGTCAGCCTGGTTATTACTTGGGTCAATATTGGTGAAGACCCCCATTGGTTTGTACACAGTTTGCCAGGAGGTGAGATACAAACATTTTGACCATTGGTGACCTCTTAAATAGTACAAGGGTTAATATACGTGCTTTAAAGCGTAAAAGGCGTTTTTACGAGAGCTTACTTTTGGGGTACTCACACAAAGGGAACAATGGTACCCCATAAGGCGGTCTTTGTCTAACCGTACCCCAGAAGGGAAATGTTAAAGAGAGATAAACACAGACTTTTGATCGTGCGAGCAGATTTCCATAGTTAACCCTAACCTTCCCAAATCCTCCCAAATCCTCTTCGCAAGATGGAGGATGTTGCAGGATTGAGGCTATCCGCTCCGTTCACAAGTACCCCCTCACCAGCAAAGAAGGAACAGTTGGGGGTGACCGACCGACGCCATCTTGCCTGACTGCAATTTTGTCGCGGCCGTACCACTGCGTGTACATAGTACAAATCCCATGGTGTACGTGCGTCACACACAAGGAACGGTGCGCGTCAACCAGCTAAATGTCCCGCCCATGGGACGTCGTTGCTAGGTAAAAGGGCGCCCTCTTTCGTTAGCGCACGGAGCCCATAATGGCAAAAGCGTGTGGCTGATTTCGTAGGATGCACTGTGTCAAGATCTTACGCCGGACCTTGTGTTGTTATTGATCAGCCGTACCGGTACACACTTTTAGGCCTAGATTATACTTGAAATCCTCCGCACTGCTCCGGGATACCACTTGGCTCTGCCTCGATATAATGAACAGTGAGTGCCGGAGGATTTTGCAGGATTGGCGCAGTGGTCATCCCTCTATGGATCACTTTCAAGAAATAATGGAGGATTTTGCAGGATTGAGGCAACATGTACATCCTAGCAAAAATGCCTGGAGATCCCGTTAGCTTGGTGGTTGAGTGGTAAGATATCTGCACTAGAAAGCAGGAGGTCATGGGTTCGAGTCCCACCCGAGCGATTTTTTTCCAACTTTCACTCGGGAGGTAACACACTGAGTATACAGTGTTTAAACGTCGGTGAAGGGCAAAACCTAATTTGATTTAGTGCCTGGAGAGTTAGGGTTAAAAAAGCCATGAAATTGAGCACTCTTGTCCCTTTTAATACAGGGGAGTGGGAGTGCTGTGATGGCACCAAGACAGACTACAGGAATTGGGGGCCCGGAGAGCCTAACAACTCAGGCAATGAAGACTGTGCTACGGTGCAATCCAGCGGCCGATGGAACGACATCAACTGCAAAGCAATCGTATCCAGCTTCTGCAAGAAACCTGCCGAGTGCCTGCACTGAAGTTTTACAAATCCAAACTGACAATATATTTCTGTCCGCGATGGACAAACGTGGATAGGCGGGGAAATTTGTCAAATACATCATGTACACGTATGCTTGCTAACTGTAGATCTCATTTATATTGATTACTTGGAACACTCAAATGCTATGACTTTGCAATAAATTGAAAGGATGCTGAAAAAAAGAAAGAATGAACTTGGTCCCATTTCCACTTCCCCACGTCAGTGCGCCAAACCACTTCGCCCTATCATCACTTTGGCCAGTTGCCACTTCACCCTTTTGCCTTTTTTTGTTTGCTTTAATTACTGCAGAAGAAAATCTCAAAAACTTTTGAAATCTTGTTTGATACATGTACCGGTACATGTAATAACCATTAACAAACATGTACAAGCTGATCAAACTATGCATGCTGTCTCAAATAGTTGATATTTTAATTGAATGAAGAAAATTGTTCCGCATATCGATATAAAGTACACAGCTCAGAAGCAAATAAACTATGTAAATTTTAAAGGAAAACAAATGATGAAATAGCAAGTAGAAAAAGTCTCGTACACAAGTACCTAGGCCAACATGCTTATAATGTGATCCGGAAGAGCAACTCGGGAAATTAACTAGAGCTGCATCATAAGCGTTGACACTACGATCTGAAACTCTTACCAAAATCATTTTTTGTCTTTTCAAACTTTTCAAAATAATCGACACCCAAGTGACATCCAATCTGGGGGACTCTTTTCAGGATCAATGTTACTTACATTTTGTACATGCATCCTGAGTATACATGTAAATGCAATATTTTGGGGAGATAAACACTTTTGGATATTATTATTAAAATCAAATTCAGTGCACCATTAGATTAAAATGGCGACAGCCATTTTCTGCGGTGGCACCAGGCTCGTGGGAGGCATGCTCAGGTAAATGCACGCACTATAGGGCTACCAAAATACATGCGCGCATCGCCGCATCGTCTTTAAGATCATATGCGGTGCATGTGTGAGCACCCCCTTCAAAAATGACTATTGTTTTGTTCACCCAATTAGTCTATCGGTGTGGGTGGGATTACATCATCAAATGAAAGCATCTATTCATTTTCACAACCAGTTTTCATCGGTTGCGATGAGTTACCATTCAACACTCAGACTCAAGAACCAATGAGTGTTTATATGTAAATTTACATGTAGGTCCGGGAACTAGATAAGGCAATGTAAGATACTCCCAGATGTCTGTGCTCACCCACACGTAGTGACTTCTTTGAGAAGTCAAAAGTCAGGGGGCGGGGGTGAATTGATCGGTCCATTTGCAGGAGGGTAAACCAAAACACCATTCGGACAAGTGACTACAAGGGGACAACGTTTCTCGGGGACAAGCTTACCTTTTGTATCTCTGCCCTGGTGTACTCGCACCGGATGTCACCGAAGAGGAGAGAATCTGGGTCCTGGAGCTCGTAGCGGACAGACGGCTTCAGAAAGAGCTAGGGAGTATAAAAGAGATCCAGGAAACTGTTACTCTGTTGATGCATCTTCGGGAATAACAAATTTCACCTGTGGAGCATATACTCTCTGCTTTCTTAGCATTATGGTTTTCGAGAAATGGCCGATGGCTTCAGAAAAATTCCGAGATTTGGAAACGAAATTGGGCTCTGGTTATTAACAGCCAGTTCAGCCTCATTGTGAAAGCACACAAGAGCATGAACACAGAACGCAAAAAGCATATAGACCCCTCTCATAAACAGCCATCGATTTTGTAGGAAAGTTACAACTGCGTATTCAATGCCATCGGGTGTGTGATCGAGCAATTTCCAAGATGTTCTAAACACGTGTGCATTTCTTCAAGATATTGCGTAGCCAATGTGCGGCACGAAAATTTGACGCCCAACATGCTGATGCACGTGGCAATCTGTAGGAAGTGACGTCATTTGAGAGAGACCTGTTGTGACATCACAGCGAGTACTCATGCTGTGAGTTTTCAAAAGTTGAACCCGTTTCAATAAGCTAATTCAGTATCTCGATGAAGTAGTCCAGGACAAAGGTCATTCAGGATAAAATTGCTGACGCGATGTTATGTGATGTTACGCGAACACCCACTCTGTTGTAGTTAAAGACATAGTCCATCATTTGTAATTTGTGCATTTTGTTCGTTTGAAGCAACAAAAGTGTTTAAAATCTAATGAAGGATAATGAACAACTAACCTGATTAAGTTTCAGCTCAGCTTCAGCTGTGATTTCGAGAAAAACAGCATTCTAGGATCTCAATTTCAAATCAAAAGTTGCTGAATCATGTTTTGAATTGGGCCTGAATTGCAGCTATACGCGATGTCGCACACTGATCCGACGAATTATAGAAACCGCGCGCGCGTGTGCGTCGTGCCAATGCTTGCGCGCGCTTCGCAAAATAACAAAACAAACTACTAATTTAAATTACATACGGTGCGTCTTAAGAAGCACTGTCGGAAAGGCCTTCTTTCGTTGATTACTTCAAAATGACAGTTTGCCAGAAAGAATAATTTCACAGGGAGTTTAGTCCACTTACTTTCTTTCAACCAAGTATGTTTTTTAACAATAATTACGCCAGTTACTTCTCTGAGGGCTGCAAATGATGGACTATAGCTTTAACACGCGAGTGTCATGCGATCATCTCCTTGCGCGTTCATACACCTTCGATGAGCGTTTGATTATCCCAAATGACCTGTGACCAATATCATCATGCACATGCGCAGTTGATATACCAAACTGGCTTATTCTTGCGAATTTTACTGCCGATGTATATGTATGCATTACATGAAGCATGAACCGGTCTTTACACAGGTTGATAGGTTGTTAACGTTTTCCTATTGGACATGTTGGAGTTGTTATGCCCCGACTATGGGCTCCGTGCGCCACCGAAAGAGGGCGCCCTTTTACGTAGCAATGACGTCTAATGGGCGGGACATTTCACTGGTTGACGTGCACCGTTCCTTGTGTGTGACGCACGTACACCAGGGGATTTGTACTATGTACATGCAGTGGCCGCGCTGCGGTAAATGAATTACAGACAGGCAAGATGGCGTCGGTCGGTCACCCCCAACTGTACTTCCTTTGCCGGTGAGGGGGTACGTGTGGACGGAGCGGATAGCAGGCCCCAAACTACAGTTCTGACCAAGATTTGACGGGTCATATACATGTAAGCCCTAGGCTTCAATTCGACCCTCAATTTCAAGCAAGATTATACATGTTATAGCAGTGGCCCCAAACTACAGATGGGACAAATCCAACTATTGTTGGTGCCTTCCCAGCTGTAATTGGGACTAGGTGGAATCGTTCAAACTACAGTTGGGATCTGTGATCTGTTAGCTTCTGTACAAATGCCTGGTGTGGCTATCGCGTACAGCCTCATGGTGTATGTATGAAGATAACTGCCAGAAACTCCGGGGCGAACCCCTTCTCTTAGCGATAAGTGTTTGCTGGGTAACCGCATTATACAACACACGGGACCTACAGCTTTACGTCCCATCCGAAGGACGAAGCAATAATGGTTATTAACCATTATTGCCTTGCTCAAGAGCACAAGTGTCCAGGCCCGGGCTTGAACCCATGCCACTGTTGCCTCTGAAACACCAGAGCACGAGTCCAGTGTTCTTAACCGCTAGGCCATCTCACTCCACTCATAAATGACGTCATCCCACTCAGATGACGCTATAGATGGGGCATTGCAGAGCCTTACCTTTCCCCTTCTAGTCTTGTTCCTGCTTTCTAAATCGTAGATCAGATGAGAGTCTCCCTGTATCTCAATGCACGCGTGCTTCTTGGATAAGGCCTGCAGAACAGTTCAACAAATTCATAATACAATGATTAAACTAGAAAGCACTCAGAGATCGCAAACCTCCGCCAAGGCTTAACCATTCCCGCCATATTGTCAGTTCACCCAAAAGAAATACCGGCACAAATGGTGAAACAGTCCTGAATCCTCCAATTTTGCACACCCACCAGGGAGTTAGGGTTAATGGTGAAGAATCCTTAAAAAAAAATCCTCGATCCACAACCAGATCACTTCCAAAATATTATTCATTTGTATTTGCACCAAGGACCATCCCTAAAAATGTTTTCATCCAAATCTGTCCATAACTTTTTGACTTATCTTGTTAACAGACAAACCAACCAACCAACAAACTAATCAAATCCGATGAAAACATCTTAATGTAATAAGTATTCAAAAATACCTAAGACAGTTTACTCATTCCTATTGGTCGACAGCCCGTCACGTGGGTGGTTTTAAACAGTTGATAAAACACCGGCTGGCTGGTCTTAAACACTTTGACATTGTCTATTTGACCGATTTCAACCCAACTTTGTCAAAAAGTATCAGTAGCCCAGCCCCAACATGTCACATGACCAAACTGGGGTCAAAGGTCATCATGGGATAACTGGGGTCAAAAACTTTCTTTTTTCTTTTACTCAAAACACTACTCCTAGAGATTACATGGCACAATCACGCGACTCATGCATGAACACAAATTCATTGGCCTTTCCGAGATATTTTATGATCAAGCTTGTTTAAAGAGGTTGTTGAATGCTCGAAGACATTTACGGGCATTTTTCGGGTATATGTAGCCTAAGGTGTGATGAAATAAAAACGACTATTGCGTCTGTCATGAAATGAGTACAAACGGTACTTTTGAGAGCTGTTTTTTCAGGTCCTGTTTCGATCCAAACGTGCAATTTGTGTAAAAGTCGTCGTTTGGGGCAGCAAACAAAACATAGTAGATCGCGACGTAATAAACAGGACTCGTTTATACTACCCTGCATCGAGAGTCCTGTTTACTACGTCGCGATTTACTATGTTTAGTAGATCGCGACGTAATAAACAGGACTCGTTTATACTACCCTGCATCGAGAGTCCTGTTTACTACGTCGCGATTTACTATGTTTTGTTTGCTGCCCCCAACGACGACTTTTACACAAATTGCACGTTCGGGTCGAAACAGGACCTGAAAAACAGCTCTCGAAAGTACCTTTTGTAACTCATTTCATGACAGACACAATAGTCGCTTTTATTTCATCACACCTTAGGCTACATATACCCAAAAAATGACGGAAATGTCTTCGAGCATTCCACAACCTCTTTAACACCAATCATCAACCCGAGCTACCGCACGGCTGCCCCTTTACCTTGAGTGGAATGCATATCTGGTTGCTCTCATGTCTACCAATGAAGTTATCGCCCTCGAACACAGGGAACGAGGTTTCGAGGAAACTCTTCTGACTGAAAACTTTCAGGTATCCTACCTGTAAATAAAAGTACGCAAAAACAATAAAAACACTATAAAAGACTGGTCTTTTCTCACATCCCAAGCCTCCAATTCCACTCACTCCCCTTCAAATTGGGGAAAATGCAAAAAATAATCAGCGGTAACGAAACAGATTTACCTCCAGGTTTTATGAGGATTTACAGGGTTTCATGGAGTACCTCATCTCAGAATTGGCAGTTTTTGCATGGATACGAACATTTTATTTTGGCAGAAAATGTGATTCGCGGTAGTGTGAATTCACGGTGCAGAGCGGTGACCGCCATCTTTATTTCTGTGTTGCGAGTTTTCATCCTCGTGGCAATTTTACCACAAAATTTCCCACAAAAATTCAAAACCCGGCTCTCTATTTGTGATGTTTCAATAAGGGAATAAATGTGTGCTCCGGAGGTTTTTATCACTCTGTTTAAGACCGCTTAGAGTCTGGGTGCTGATAATTACCCGAGCCGGAGGCGAGGGTAATTATAAATACCCATCATAAATACCTTTTCGGTAAAAAAATATCAAATAATTCGTTCAAAAAATCCCGATTTTGTTCAACAAGTTCACTTCATGCTTTTTGAAACATCCCTCTAGCAAAATAATGGAGCGTTCAGCTGGAGAGTAAGATGTAAACAACCCTTTTATGGAGATTGACGCGCGCGTAGCATGTTCTGCGCGATGTCACGCAGAACGCACCTGGGGCGTTGCGTTTTGAATTTAGAACTATAAAATTCTGACTCGCTGGTAGTGTTGCGCATGCCTACGTCAGGACTGTGAACGTTCAACCAATGAAACGGTAAGAGGCACTGGATTTTTAGGAGTCCACATTTTATTGTGACCTGGTGACACTGGAAAAGTGTTTAAGACCAGCTAGCCATGTCTTTATCATCTGTTTAAGACCGGCCACATGACCAATAGGAATAGCAAAACTGTCTGAGGTATTTATGAATTGGAGTTTAAACACTGCTAATCAGTTGGGCGATTCCAAAGTGGATTTTAGTTCTTTTATAGGTAAGGAGACCCGCAACAACACCATGCCAATACCGGTTTACAGCTGTTTTTGTTTTTGTTTTGTTTTGCTGGGGAAAAAAACTTACAGGTGGTTTGTTGTCCAGATCCCCCAGATCGTCCGTATCATCGCTGTAGTCATCAAGCGCTATGGCTTGCGTCTGGTCGAAGCCGTCAAAGTCCATCACGCAATGGTACAAATGCCTGCATTTCAAAACAGAAACAAAACGGCTCAAAATACTATGAAAATAACCACTGCCTTATTCTAGGGTTGCTGCCAATAAGACTGTAATGCATGTCACAGACCTAGCTTTCCTACTGTCCTGAAATTCCAGGAACTTTACCATGCTTCGCTGCACGGCTCCCAATGCAGAGCCTAGGGGCAATTTCACGGTTAGTTTCATTACATTTTAATTACAATTACTTTTCGTGTAATTTTGTGTTGGAATTTAGATATGCAAACGTGTGCAAACGAACCTTTTACGGGCAGAAGCCAGATGCATTGCGCTCGGTAACAGAATCGCACTCGGGATACGGGGACCATCGAGTGAACGCTGGGCATGAAGACGACATCCCAATGTTTAAACATTAACACAAGTCGGAAATTTAACGTGTTCACGATCGCGAGGGGAGCTCTCGGAATTGAACGGGAAATTCCACTTTTCATCCGGATCGTAAGTAAACTTCAGTACAACCATCTTAATCATCGATGTCTACTTGTACCTCGGGTGGCGTATCTAGTAATTTGTAGGCCATTTTGAGGGTGAAATCTGATGTTTTGTTGGGCAATGTTGGGTTTTTGGGTCAAGGGCAAAATTGTGTTGCTCGGCATATACGGATTAGCTTGGACCCTACTATCGCCAGACCATGTCCGAATGTTAAAAACGCGATAAGTTGGATCCAAGTTACTCGGACTAGCCCTTTAATCTATGACATAAACCTGCATGTTCTTAATGTGGCCAACTAGTTTGGTAAGTCAAATACTTTAAAAAGTGGAAGTTGTTCCCTTTTTAAACTAGTTATAGGAACTGAGCCAGTAGATACACGATTGCCAAACCTTTGACCCAGCACAGAACATGTCACATAAAATTGATTAATCGGTCATAAGTGCACGCGGGATCCGGAACTAGGCAAAAACATACGGTCATTTGTTGGCGAATTTTCAAACACGAATACATAAACAAACATTCGATGGAATTGGAAGAGTTTATATGACTGTAGTGTGTGAACAAAAACATTCGAAATCACATGGTACAAGTGATGTACCGAGGAGGCAATTTATCTCCCGAGATTTTCTACAAACCGTCCAAACATGTCTTTGTGAGTCAGAAATCTGGCTGAAATTCCTCTGCTAAACGTTTTATCGAAAAGATCTTTGCGTATCAAGAAAAGAAGCTTACATTTTCTTTTTCAGAATGCACTTCCTCAGAAAAAAATTATTGGAGACTAAATCCAAAATAGGTAGGTTTTTTATAGGGGCGCTGTGGCCCAATGGTTAAGGTGTTTGACTCGTGTACCGTGGTACATGGGTTCGAATCCTGATCGTGGGAACATGGTGCTTGTGCTCTTGAGATAGGCACTTTACCATTATTGCTTCGTCCTTCTGATGGGACATAAAGCCATAGGTCCCGTGTGTTGTGTAATGCACGTTAAAGAACCCAGTAACTTATCGCTAAGAGTAAGAGAAGGGGTTTGCCCTGATGTTTCTGGCAGTGGCTGTAATATGCGCCGCAGCACCTTGTAGGCCTATAAAGTTTTGCTATTGTGAGTTTCCTAGCGTTATGCATAAACATAACGCAAGGATCATCCTAGCTAATAAAGTGATACAGTGGGAAACTTGGAACCAGGAACTGAAAACACAACTTGGCCCTCTCCATTTCGACCTATCGTCGGGTCATATAACTCCGTCACAAGCAGGTGAGGTGTTCACAGAGTCATTATTCAACTTTGTCAAAGGAAAACCGGAACTAGTTGAATCAGATAAGCACACGGGGTATGTTTCTCATGACCCCCGAGTACTCACCAATGCCAAAAAGGAAATGAACAAATTGAGGAAAAGAGCGTTTGGAAAAAACAGTACACATGAAAACCGCAAGAGATTCAACGAAGCGAACAGACACTATAGTGCTCTCAAAAAAGTCTTCAAGAAAACCAAAGATCTGAAAAACGTTGAACACGAAGAGAAACTATTTCACAGCAATTTCTACGAATTTGCAAAGCGCCTTACCAAAGGCGAACTGTACAAAGACGTTACCAAGCCATCCTTCACAAAATGTTGTGCAAATGAGTATTATACAAAGAAATACTCCTCCTCAGCCCACTTCATCCACAACGATCTCAACTGGTTCCCTTACATCCGAGTACCCGATGACGGCACGGACTTTAACCTCACACCGGTTCGGCCGAGGGACATCAAATCAGTTCTACAGCACAAGTCATCAAATAAATCCCCTGGCCCGGACAATATCACCTACGGAATTCTGAAAAAGCTACCAGCCACTCATCATTTCCTGGCCACCCTCTTCTCCCGGATCATGCAAGTTGGATCACCGCCAAGATCATGGTCGTGCTGCAAAGTCAGCCTCATCCACAAGAAAGGAGAAGCATCTCTGCCTGAGAACTTCCGTATGATCGCCCTCAACAGCTGCGTAGCCAAAATCTATCACCAGTTACTGTTGCAACGTTTTAATAGGTACCTCATAGACAATGAACTTATCGACACTACTATGCAAAAAGCTTTCATACAAGGTATCAACGGATGCATCGAGCACACACAAACCATGCATGAGCTCATATCTCATGCCAAAGCCAATCAAAAAACACTGCATGTTACATGGTTTGATCTTGCTGATGCATTTGGAAGTGTTCAACACGATCTTATTTATCATGAACTCGAAAGAAACAAGTTCCCTCCCATCATCCAGGCCTATATCAAGAACCTATACAGCAATCTGACAGGCTATGTTAGGGGACCTGGCTGGAATAGTGAAATCTTTCAATTCAAAAAGGGAGTTTTCCAAGGAGATCCCCTGTCACCCATTATCTTTGTAATAGCATTTAACCCCCTGGTACAATACATCAAATCAGAGTTACGTTTTGGGTATACCATAGATGACACTAAATTCATCTGTACCCCATTTGCCGACGACTTTAATCTCATAACCACCAATGTTAAATCGCACCAACGTATAATCAACAACATTGTGTCTCGAGCTCAATCAATGAATCTTATTCTCAAACCCAGCAAGTGCAAATCCTTGTCTCTCTGCAGCGGCAAGCCTACAGAAAAAATCTTCAAAATCAACGATTTTCTGATCCCAACAATTAAAGATGAACCGCACTCATTTTTCGGGTCGATAATAACATTCAGTGGGAAAGCACGCGACACAATGTTCCACATTAAGCAGAAAATTATTTCGTATCTTAACAGAATAGATGAATCTAAAATCCGTGATGAGTACAAACTAAAGGTGTATTGTAACTACCTACTCTCTTCACTACGATTCTGCCTGACTGTTCACGACATAACTAAAACTGATCTAAACACACTCGATCAAAACATCGATAAGTACCTGAAAAAATGGGGAGGACTGCCCAAAAGTGCTACCAATTCCCTCCTCCATTCCAACTCTGGATTAGGGATCAAATCACTCACGTTCTTGTACAGAGAATGTCATGCCCTAGCTCATGCCTCCACAAGAATCAAAGGAGACAATATGGTTAACAAATGTCTAGACTCCAAACTACACCGCGAATCATCCTGGTCTAGAAAATGTTCCGTTACTGCCTATTCAGAAAACGTTCTCCAAAAAGCTCTGAAGGAAATACCGGCCAAAGACAATAGCCCGGGAAAACATTTGCACAAACTCAAAACAGTCATCAAGTCATCCGTAGCAAAGGACATTGCTAATACATGGGATCAAAAAATCAAATCCCTTGCTAAACAAGGCCGTCTCCTAGAACTTATGGAAACGGAAAAATCCAACATCACTTGGAAATCAATAATGTATAATTTACCTCGGAAAATTCTTCGCTTTGGACTCAATGCAATCATAGATACTCTACCAGTCAATACCAATCTCTGCCTCTGGGGTAAGTCAGTTGACACCAAGTGCACACTTTGCACATCCAAGGAAACATTGTTACATGTCCTCAATTACTGCCCAGTAATGCTCAATCAAGGCCGCTACACCTATCGCCACAACAACGTTTTACTGGAAATCTGTAAATCCCTAGACAAAATGTACAACAGCTGCTCTAACCGCAAACTCTTTGCCGATCTCGATGGTAAACACGCTCCTGGCGGCAATACCATCCCGCCATCCATACTACCAACCACACTTAAGCCAGACATTGTCATAACAGACGAACATAACAAAGACATCACCATAGTTGAATTAACGGTACCATTCGAAACTAACATAACTAAAAGCCATGACTACAAAATGCAAAAATATGCCAACCTAACACGAGATTTGCGTGAGATAGGTTTCAACTCCAAACTCATCGCCTTGGAAATAGGAAGTAGAGGCTTCATAGACGAAAACAATAAAACACAAATCCGCTCCCTATTCAATCTGATGACAAAAACCGAAATACGGCAACTCACCACTCACCTGTCAAAAACAGCACTGGTCTCATCCTTCGTAATCTTCTACTCAAAATACAGCCCCGTTTGGATTGATTCTCAAGATTAAGGTATTCTTTCATATCGCCCATCCCACTCATCAATATTCCCTTGACCTAGCCAAGCAATCGTTATTCCCTGGTTTATGCTTTTCTTGTTATGCTTTTCTTGTTATGCTAAATTGTTAATTATTTAATTTGTCAATTTGTCTCTTACTTCTACATTAATTTCTAGTTCCTTGCTTCATTGGCATTTAGACTGTTTCTTTTGATTCGTCTTTCATGTTCATGATGTTCTAGGTTTCCTCCATGTCTTTTGGTTGTTGTTGTTGATTTATGATTAATGAATAAAAGACATGAATTAATAAAAAGGTCTCATATTTCTCATAAACTTTATTTACGTTTCTTTAATAATTGACTATTTCCAGCGCCTTGTGTACCTAATTGTTGGTAGATACGTATGCTATATAACTAGACTCCGTTATTTTTATTATTATTATTTGAAGCAATCCGGAAGTAGGAAAAACCTGGAACTAGGAGTAGGATTTTAGGAAAATGACTGTAATTTACTCTACCTTACCTACTACTCCCTACCCTAGCCTAAGCCTATGATTTAGGAAAAAAATAAAAACTGGAAGTGGAAAAATGGCAATTAACAGTCTAACCGTTACGCGGATGGAAAGATTCCCATATCTATCACTCAGTAATTTTTCTCTTAAATAAACTATCAGCCATCAGAAAGTGATAATATGTCATAAAAAGTCAAATTTAGCAGGGACAAATTTTGAATGTTTACTGAGATTAGAGAAAACGCTCCCACTCATCAATATTCCCTTGACCTAGCCAAGCAATCGTTATTCCCTGGTTTATGCTTTTCTTGTTATGCTTTTCTTGTTATGCTAAATTGTTAATTATTTAATTTGTCAATTTGTCTCTTACTTCTACATTAATTTCTAGTTCCTTGCTTCATTGGCATTTAGACTGTTTCTTTTGATTCGTCTTTCATGTTCATGATGTTCTAGGTTTCCTCCATGTCTTTTGGTTGTTGTTGTTGATTTATGATTAATGAATAAAAGACATGAATTAATAAAAAGGTCTCATATTTCTCATAAACTTTATTTACGTTTCTTTAATAATTGACTATTTCCAGCGCCTTGTGTACCTAATTGTTGGTAGATACGTATGCTATATAACTAGACTCCGTTATTTTTATTATTATTATTTGAAGCGATCCGGAAGTAGGAAAAACCTGGAACTAGGAGTAGGATTTTAGGAAAATGACTGTAATTTACTCTACCTTACCTACTACTCCCTACCCTAGCCTAAGCCTATGATTTAGGAAAAAAATAAAAACTGGAAGTGGAAAAATGGCAATTAACAGTCTAACCGTTACGCGGATGGAAAGATTCCCATATCTATCACTCAGTAATTTTTCTCTTAAATAAACTATCAGCCATCAGAAAGTGATAATATGTCATAAAAAGTCAAATTTAGCAGGGACAAATTTTGAATGTTTACTGAGATTAGAGAAAACGCTTACAACAAGTTTTAAGACCAGTCGATCCCGTAGGGTTTGTGCACAGGATGACAAGTGATGGCCAGATACGGTAATCTTTCCACACGGACCAGCTACATACCTGATTCGACAGTCGACACAGGAGCGTTTAATTCTGCTCACGTGTTGCCGGCTGAAGTAGGCCTAGGCCTACTACCATAACGTACTAATATCGTCTTTATTAAAATTGTTTAAACTTGCACGACATGTCATGTGTGTGGGCAAGCATGCAATTGACTCACGCCCTCTCGATCTCCTGGCCGCGGCCGCTTGCGAATTGCGCAGGTCAGCATGCCGAGGATTCCCGCCCTCTCTTGTTCGCTGGCAGGCCAGTAAAATACGCCGTGGATTCTGCTATTTTGTGGGCCATGAGCATACGCGACGCGACGATCGAGTAGGGCCCTACGAACTTTGAGCTGAGGGTGCTGGTGGAAGACGTGAACGGGACAGCTTGTTTGTTTTCAGAGGAATGGAAAGTTATATTTTACACTTGTTCGGCCACTCTTAGGGGCCATTCAGAATTTTCAATGTTTTAAAATTTCGATCTTTTTTCCAAATTGTGGGTGGGTGGGTCAAGCTAAATAATTGAAAATCGAAATTCACTTTCCATGGAAAAAGAAAAAAAAAGAAAAGAAAGATAGATCTTTTAACTTGCCTGAACTACGCGCAAGTACGAAAGCCCATTAGCGCCACTGCAAGTATATGTTGCGGATTATTTAATTCGTTATTACGAATTATTAATTCGTTATAACGGATTACTAATTCGTACTAACGGATTATTTAATTCGTTATTAGGGATTATTAATTTGTTATTACGGATTATTAATTCGTTATTACGGATTACTAATTCGTAATAACGGATTATTAATTCGTTATTACGGATTATTTAATTCGTTATTACGGATTATTAAAACCTCTCCCGGACTAATATTGCCAATTCGAAAAGTGCGGGGGTTGGGTAGGGGTGGATGGGGGGGGGGGGGGGGGGGGGCTGGACAGCCTTGCATGTTCATAATTACAGTATTGGGCATACATTATGCCGACGTATTGCGTGTGCATGCTCGAACTTTACTGAGTCTGAGGTCTATCGAACTCCCGAAGATTCGCTGACAGTCTATATTTTTCTTTTTAAGAAAGTCGAAGTAGTTGAAGGCGGAGGTGAGAATCTATATGTGCCGAGATACAAAGAGTAAAAATCTACGCGCCTGCCTTTTGAAATACACAATTGCAGTGTTCATTGTTGTGTAATGATCCGCCTAGCACACGGTTGTTTTGCACATTAGGCTGCGGTATACAACTTCCTAACAAATCAAACACACTGGGCTCATTATTCCTCAACCATCGACTTGTTTTCGCCCATGGAGCTAAAGCAAATGGACCCAGTAATCTTCCTGGCGTGTTTGCTCACCTATAAAGACAACTTTTCTCAGTTTAAAGAGAATTCTAAGGTAACGAAATGGCCGAGTGGTTACGATTCGTCGTCCACAGTTAGCGGGGTCCCGGGTTCGAATCCCGCTGGTGTCTTTTTGGTTTTTAACGTATGAGTTCAATCATTTACTATAAGAGATTTAATTTCCCGTCGTAAAGTACCAACAGTACCTTAGCTTAATCGGTAAGCACTGCTGCTGGTACTGTCCGCGAGTTCCAGGTTGGCGCCTTCGTACAGGTTCAGGGCATGTGGTCCACTCGGAGGATCAGGGCTTAGGGGCCGCCCTGTTCCTCCCTTAGCTCTTTGCTTTTACATGGTGCCTGGCCCTCCGGGGTTATATGGATGGATAGGGAAGGAAGTGTGTATTGGTCGGGGACGCCGAGACCCCGGAAGAGAACTAAGGGATCGGCTGGGGCATTGTTATGGCTCAGACCGATCCCTGAAAGTTTGACTAGCACATAACTTTTTGATTTTTTTTACCCTCTAACTTTTATACTTTGGTTTAGTTTGATATCTACAGCTGCTCTGCAGGTCTACGGGTAGTATCAAAATTGAAACAAAGGTGTATGTCATAAATCAATGAATATTTCATAATTGACTATAATCAAAACGGAGTTTCGTTTGATCAATTTGACTATCATTATATAATGACGCGATTGCAAATTGACGTAAGAAACGCCATTAATTATACCGGGAAAGAATAAAGATGTACACTGTAATATAAATATTATTTATACATCTTTCAAATAACGTGTCTTTAATTGTGAGCATTCCAAACAATACAGTAATTCGCAATAGTAATAGAATGGTATATGATAGCACGATCATTGCGTCTCTATTAAATTTAAAAAAAATATAATTTAGGCCCCTATGTGTGAAATATTCTTTGATTGACTATGAGCATTCCATACGAATGAGTTAATTCGCAAAATTTAGCAACAACAAAAGAGAAAGGAAAAAGAGAACTTTCCTTTACCCTAAAAACTGGAAATATAATTTGTTTTAAAAAAGTCAAATGGGACACTTCATTTATTGAATTAATAGTTTGCAAGGAGTTAGCCTTACATTTTTTAGCGAAATTGGGAAAAATAAGACGTGTATGAAAAATTTCAAATTGTATGGGGTTAACCTTGCTTTTTAAGTAAAATTTAGATGTTTATGAAACATTTCAAATTGTAAGGGGTGAACCTTGCATTTTTTAGCGAAATTGGGAAAAATAAGACGTGTATGAAAAATTTCAAATTGTATGGGGTTAACCTTGCTTTTTAAGTAAAATTGGGAAAATTGAAATGTTTTTGAAAAATTTCAAATTGTCAGTGGTTTGCCTTGCATTTTTAGCAAAATAGGGCAAAATCAGGTGTTTATGGAAAATTTCAGATGGTAAGGTTTTAACTTTGCATTTTTAGCAAAATTGGGCAATATCAGATTTGTATAAAAAATCAAAAATTGTAAGGGGTTCACCTTGCCAAATTAGGGCAAAATCAGATGTCTCTGGAAAATTGCAGATTGAAAGGGGTTCACCTTGCTTTTTAAAGCGAAATTGGGAAAAATCAGATGTTTCTTGAAAATTGCAGATTGTAAGGGGTTAACCTTGCATTTTTAGCAAAATTGGGCAAAATCAGATGTTTCTGAAAAATTTCAGATGTAAGGGGGTTAACCTTGCTTGTTTAGTAAAATTTGGCAAATTTTAATGTGCATGAAAAATTGCAAATTGTTAGGGGTTAACCTTGCATTTTTTTGCAAAATACGGCAAAACCAGGTGTTCATGAAACATTTCAGATTGTAAAGGGTTCACCTTGCATATTTAGCAAAATTGGGAAAAATCAGATTTGTATGAAAAATCAAAAATTGTAAGTGGTTAACTTTTGCTAAATTAGGGCAAAATCAGATGTTTCTGGAAAATTGCAGATTGAAAGGGGTTAACCTTGCATTTTAACCCTAAAGGGGCCGGGTTATTTTGACCATCTCTCAGCCGGGCTCGGGGGGGGGGGGGGGGGGGTTGGGGGCGGATTCCACCCCCTAAGATCTCGGCCATCGAGTGACGAAAAGTTTTGAAACTCGGCACATGCATAGAGCAACTCTTCCTAAACATACCAAAGAAATTTCATGACTATAGGTCAAAGGGTTTTTATGGCTATGGAATTATGGCTAATTAATTATTCATATGTACGAATGGAAATTCTGCTCTGTGTACACGACGTATATGCGAAAATTCAGTTTTCACGGCGCATAGCGCCGGAAAATTTTTCGCTACGCGGCAACCCGTGGTCCGATTTTTATGTTTTTGGTATCAAAAGATGCGCAAAGCTCGAGGCTAAAAAGTCATTACAGCTCGGGTCGCGAATTTTTTTTTTTATAGGCTAACACGGAAAATGTTGAGGGGGGGGGCGGATTCCGCCCCGGCCCCTTTAGGGTTAAGCAAAATTGGGCAAAATGAGACTTTTATGAAAAATCTCAAATTGTAAGGGGTGAACCTTGAATATATTAGCAAAATTGGGCAAAATCAGATGTTTCTGAAAAAAATTCCGATGTCGCGATTGCCAATTGACATAAGAAATGCCATAAATTATACCGGGAAAGAATAAAGATGTACACTGTAATATAAATATTATTTATACATCTTTCAAATAACGTGTCTTTAATTGTGAGCATTCCAAACAATACAGTAATTCGCAATAGTAATAGAATGGTATATGATAGCACGATCATTGCGTCTCTATTAAATTTAAAAAAAATAATTTAGGCCCTTATGTGTGAAATATTCTTTGATTGACTATGAGCATTCCATACGAATGAGTTAATTCGCAAAATATAGCAACAACAAAAGAGAAAGGAAAAAGAGAACTTTCCTTTACCCTAAAAACTGGAAATATAATTTGTTTTAAAAAAGTCAAGTGGGACACTTCATTTATTGAATTAATAGTTTGCAAGGAGTTAGCCTTACATTTTTTAGCGAAATTGGGAAAAATCAGATGCTTCTGGAAAATTTCAGATTGTATGGGGTTAGATGTTTATGAAACATTTCAAATTGTAAGGGGTGAACCTTGCATATTTTAGCGAAATTGGGCAAAATCAGATCTTTCTGGAAAATTTCAGATTGTAAGGGGTTTACCTTGCTTTTTAAGTACAATTGGAAAAATTTAAATGTTTATGAAAAATTTCAAATTGTCAGGGGTTAACCTTGCATTTTTTAAGGAAAATAGGGCAAAATCAGGTGTTTATGGACAATTTCAGATTGTAAGGGGTTAACTTTGCATTTCTAGCAAAATTGGGCAAAGTCAGATTTGTATGAAAAATCAAAAATTGTAAGGGGTTAACCTTGCCAAATTAGGGCAAATCAGATGTTTCTGGAAAATTGCAGATTGAAAGGGGTTAACTCTGCTTTTTTAGTGAAATTTGGCAAAGTTGGATGTTTATGAAAAAATTCAAATTGTAAGGGGTTAACCCTGCATGTTTTTAAACGCAATTGGGAAAAATCAGATGTTTCTGGAAAATTGCAGAATTGTATGGGGTAAACTTGGCATTTTTAGCAAAACTGGGCAATATCAGATTTTTATGAAAAATTTCGAATTGAAAGTGGTGAACCTTGCATTTTCAGCAAATTGGGCAAAATGAGATGTTTCTGAAAAAATTTCAGATGTAAGTGGTCAACCTTGCTTTTCGAATTGTTAGGGGTTAACCTTGCATTTTTTAGCAAAATTGGGCTAAATCAGATTTGTATGAAAAACAAAAATTGTAAGGGGTTAACCTTTGCCAAATTAGGGCA